CCGGTACCAATCGGCTCGGCCATTTGCTAATGAATCTGGCATCGATTTTCAATCACTGCTCTCCCGCCTCCGCTTTGTTTATGTCCGCATGTCTGTAAGTGGCCGTCTGCCAGCCGCATGGGCCGGATCCTCGGTCACACCCAACGGCTGACCCGCGTCCGGCCACCGAATCGGTTGGTTTCGGCCGAGGCTTCACGGCACGCCAAGACGTCCCTAATCGGCTACACGAGCCAATCGATTTGGGCAGCTTTTATCCTCTCCTCCCGAACAGACTTATTTGGCCCCGCAACCCCCTTCTTCGGCCGATTCGACGGCCCACGAATGATGGACAGAGAACATGTGTTGCTGGGCCATCCCGTGAAGGGTGGCATTTTTGTCCGGTGGATACGCGCGCGACCGAGGCAGGAAAGGTCAACTCGGCCCATCAAGAAGCTCGCACCACCTCGACACCACAACGGCTGCGTGATTGCGTCTGCAATGGCGTCAAAGATACCCTCAACTCGCACTACTCATAAGTAACGCCAGAAAGTGGGTCGATCTATGCGGAAATGTGGCTTGGCCTGGATAGGCCGAGTTTGGACCGACAATAACGCGCGATTCACACACACACACACACACACTTTGTTGGTCACCACGGAGAGAATTTGAGGCTTGATCCATCCACCTGGACTACTTAAGTAGCTAAAACAGATAATCGGCAATAAAAATATTTGATAATGACAACTTTCATTTATCGTGTACAAGTAGGGCTTAGAAACGACTACCTCAAACGAAATTGGGCGAATATTTCTCATATTGTATGCTTTTCCTGAATGCTTGTTGACAATTGAAGTGGTGAACCCCCAAATAACCTTAATTTGTTTTTTTGACCCTTCAATGATGGCGCATTTGGTTGCGTTCCAGTTCACGCCAATTGTGTGCATGCAATTCTCCTGAGCCGCGTGGGATGTGGACACATAAAACAGATTTGAGTCTCAGCAATGCATGCGAGAGCCCAAACCG